TTCTGTTTTCAAATGCTCCTTACCAGCGCTATTTCTCTGGAAAAAGAGGTGCCAGAGCTCACCATGAACTTCTCCCGTGTTCTCTTAGAATGGTAATTGCACCCACCTGAGAGGTGCCGAGTTCCAGTGAACACCAGCTGGAAAAAAAGAGCCCTGCTTGCTGGTATTCTGCCCCAAATTATGTTGCTTTACTCCTGCGATTTGCTGGGTTAAAGGGGCTTCACATGGAGATCTTCCAGAATCAAATAACACCGAAATGAGCGCTAATCGCGATCTATATTCCATGAGTTTTCACACTGTTATGTTGCGTGAAAGATCAAACACAAAGGGGAAATCAACGGTTTTTGGATTCGTCAAAACCACTGAAGATGGTTTTGCAAAACATCTCCAGCAAAACTGGAGATGACCCGGGAGGACCCGTGTCCAGCCTGCTCCCTTGAAACAGGAGAATATTGGAGAAGGCTGGGCCTCCATCCTCAGTAAGGGGATAATACTGACAAGGCGCTTGCAAGGATCACAGAACGACAATGCACATAAAATGCTACAAACACTGTAAAGCAAATAACTACTAGAGTTGCTACGAATAGGTGATTTTGACTTTGGGAAACAAAAGTAGGCATGCATCGCATCCCTAATTCTCATTGCTTCCTTTCAATCTGACTTTTTAATGCTCCGCTGGCTCAAAATCCAGAGACGCTGTCTCTTTTATTCCTGCTGAAGCTGTTCTCTCTATGGCACCCGAACATGACCTTTGCCTTTAAGCTGTTCAGCCGAGGGATTTGATGCGCCGGCAAAGAGCCGACCCCTGACCTCTTAACGCTGAGCTAGCTCTCTATCTCCTTATATGCGTTACTCTTCTGCATCATCCCCACCATGCAAAAAGGCTGCGGTGAGCCTCACCTTTCCGATTCAGAGCAGCTTCTTCCATGCGCCTTTCCTCAGTCATGCGCTTAAGCTGCGCCTCCTGACCTCACTGTGCTTAAGAGGTGTTTTACGAGTCACATCTTAAGTGACGCTTAAGGCTCCTGCTCAGCGGCTGATTTTTTACAAAAACAAATGTGGACAGTGTCATCAACTGAGCAGGGCCACCCATCATAGCTGTCAACCGTCCCTTATTTGGCGGGAAACTCCCTTATCCCAGCGCCATGTCCCGCTGCTGTCCCTTATTGATGATGTCCCTTAAATTTCCCGGGTTTCAAAGGAAGCAGCTCCTCTCCCTGCCTCCCTGCCAGCCAGGGAGGAGGGAGGCTCCAACTGTGTTGCTTGGCTGCCCAGCCCGCCCCCCTCCGGCCTCCTCTCACCAGCCTTGGCCCCCGGGAGCCCCTCCCCGCCAGGACTGGCGGGAGCCTCGGGCCCTTCCGCCGCCATCCTCCTCGCGGCCGCCAAACGGAGCGTCTCTGCCTGGGGCCTCCCCTCTGCCTGCTGCCACTCCCGCTAGGCCGTACTGCGGCTGTGCCACTGAAGGACCCGGATGAGATGGGCAGCCTGGCGCGGCCTATGAATTGCTGAGGAGCCTTGAGAGGAGAGCGAGGGCAACCATAGAGAAAGCAGTTTAGAGAGAGGAGGAGGAGGTGCGGGCAGGTGTTCCAAGGGCTAACCATATTGGGGAAAAGCGGAGGAAGGACCGCAAGCGCTTCTCCCATAGATTTGTAGTGGTAGGTAGACTAGCATAGATGGTCTGATCTGTGGGTTTACTTTGGGCGCTATTCCCCCCCCTCTTCCTCCCGCCCCGTCTGATGGAATTGAGAGCTGCAGATGGAGCACGAGAGAAAAGATACAGAACTGCAGCAGCATCTTCGTAGCTTGGACTTTGTTTTGCGTGAAAAATGGTTGCTGCTTGTAGTTATTTAATTGCAGTGTTTCATCAGCTGATGTCTTGAGCAGCAACCTCTGGAAACGAAGGGCTAAAAACCGGAGCTGCTCTCCAAAATTATCTGGTCCCTTTTAACTTCGTACTTCAGCTGGTTGACTAAAATCCCTTATTTTGGCTGCTGATCCCTTAGTTTCAAATCTGTAAGTTGACAGCTATGCCACTCATGCCAGTAGAGAGGCAAAGGGCTCTTAACCCCTTCCTCTCCAGCAACAAATGTTTTGGCAAAGGCCTCCCAGGCACCGGCCAAGATGCAAGCAAACAGGGGTGCTGGGAGCTCTCTGCAATTGAGTGAGGATGGAAGGCCCACCCACACTGGCCCCACCCAGTGCGCAAAGGGCTCGTTAACCCCTATGTCTCCAGCAACAAAGATTTTGACAAAGGCCTTTCTTTGACCTCCAAAGTGTTAGCAGGAGTGTCTTTGGCTGTTTCCCAAGTTGGGGAGGCTTGTTTGACAACAATGAGAAACCAAGACTTCAGTGTCATCGGCCCAGTCCTGCGGAACACCCTGCCACTAGATTTTCGGCGGGCTCCTTCTGTGCCAACTTTTAAACACCAGGAGAAAACTTTCCTATTCTGCCAGGCCCGTGCAGGCAATTAAGAATACATCCTCCCCAACGGCCTATTGGTGTTTGTTTTTAACTTATGCTTACTACAACTAACATTAATACTACTAATAATAATTGTACCCTGTCCATCTAACTGGGTTGCCCCAGCCACTCTGGGTAGCTTCCAACAGATATATAAACACAATAAAACATCAAACATTTAAAACTTCCCTATACAAGGCTGCCTTCAGGTGTCTTCTAAAAGTTGTAGAGTTATTTATCTCCTTGGTGGGAGGGCATTCCACAGGATGGGCGCCACTACCAAGAAGGTATCTTATTATCTTATCTTATTGTTTGGTTTTATGCTTTCATATTGCTGCAAAGCACTATGGTGTATTTTTGCAATGCAGCAGTATATACATAATTTTATAAATAAAGGGGAAAAAATAAAACAGCCAAGATGCAAGTAAATAGGGGAGTTGGCTACTGTCTCCAATTGAGCAGAGCTGATGGCATTCCTGTATACAGGTAAAGGGATCTTTAACCCCTGGTTCCTCAGCCTGATTAGAGCAACAAAGGTTTAGACAAAGGTCTCCCAGGCATTAGCCAAGACATGAGCAAATTGGAGTGGGTGGCTTAGGTGCAGCATGGGAGAATCGTATAGAATCATAGAGTTGGAAGGACCCTGACTGTTTTGGGACTACAATTCCCATCACCCCTGACCACCGGCCCTGTTAGTTAGGGATCATGGGTGTTGTAGTCCAAAACAGCTGGAGGGCCAGGTTTGGCCAACACTGGTCTAGTCCAACCCCTTGCAATGCAAGAATATGCAGCTGTCCCATATGGGGATCAAACCTGCAACCTTGCAGTTATCAGCACCGCACTCTATCCAACTGAGCTATCCAGCCATGTCTTACAAATGAAAGCCTCTTTTCCTGGTTCATACTGGGGGAGACGGACTTGGTGCCCTTTGCTTATGCTTTTGGATCAGGAGGTCCACAAGAGCTGGGAGAAACAATAGGACCCAGAGGGTAAGGTAAAGGTAAAACATAAAGGACCCCTGGACGGTTAAGTCCAGTCAAAGGCGACTATGGGGTTGTGGCGCTCATCTCGCTTTCAGGCCGAGGGAGCCGGTGTTTGCCCACAGACAGCTTTCCGGGTCATGTGGCCAGCAGGACTAAACCACCTCTGGCGCAATGGGGCACTGTGATGGAAACCAGAGCGCACGGAAATGCTGTCAACCTTCCCGCTGCAGTGGTACCTGTTTATCTACTCGCACTGGCGTGCTTTTGAACTGCTCGGTTGGCAGGAGCTGGGACAGAGCAACGGGAGCTCACCCCATCGTACAGATTCGAACCGCTGACCTTCTGATCGGCAAGCCCAAGAGGCTCAGTGGTTTAGACCACAGCGCCACCCGCGTCCCCTTGATCCAGGGGGAATGAACAGACACATGGGTTGCCTAACCAGACTGCATCTCCTCCCTCTACAGAGGCCATCCCAGCTTAGGAAAAGGATCAAGTGAAACCATCCTAAAGCAACAGTTCTGCTGGTCTCTAATTGCAAGTGTGCCCTTTGCCTAGGAATCTTTTAGCATGGCTGCACGATGGTTTGGGAGACGGCGGATGCGCTCATTCCATGCCAGCATGCCTGATTCTGGCCATCCGCATGCACACAGAGACTTAAACCCCTTCAGGTACCGTGGCCACCCATATGCCAGGCAGGACCAACAGGGGGAGCTGTCAGAGGGCAGGCATCCCAGAGCAAAAGGTAGAATCTGCCTTTAAAAAAACCCCAAACACATTGCACATTCCCAACCATGCACACATCACTAAACCAGGAACATAAAATGAACATCACAAGAGTGTGCCTTTTGTGGTTTCAAGTATGGCTGTCACCTGACTAAAGAAATCTTAGCTGGTTGGGAGATTTAGCTGATTAATAGGTATAAATTTGCATGCGAGAAAAAGGTATAGAATTGCAGGAAGAATGTTTGTTTATAGATAGTGCTCAAATGAGGCATTTAAAATTTGCAGCTTGATTAATCAAAGACATGTTATCAGGCGATCAAAATGTTTTTTGAAGTGACTAATCTAACATTGATTGATTGATTGATTGATTGAGGTCAGTTGTGGTGTAGTGGTTAGAGTGTCAGATGGAGGGCCGCGAGTAAAAGGTAAAGGTAAAGGGACCCCTGACCATTAGGTCCAGTTGTGACCGACTCTGGGGTTGCGGCGCTCATCTCGCTTTATTGGCCGAGGGAGCCGGCGTACAGCTTCTGGGTCATGTGGCCAGCAGGACTAAGCCGCTTCTGGCGAACCAGAGCAGCGCATGGAAACGCTGTTTACCTTCCCGCTGGAGCGGTACCTATTTATCTACCTGCACTTTGATGTGCTTTCGAACTGTTAGGTTGGCAGGAGCAGGGACCGAGCAACGGGAGCTCACCCCGTCACGGAGATTCGAACTGCCAACCTTCTGATCAGCAAGTCCTAGGCTCTGTGGTTTATCCCACAGCGCCACCTGCCAGGGTTCAAATGCCAGCTCAGCCAAGAAGCTCACTGGGCGACTTGTTCTCCCTGCTCCTCATTTAATCCCCAAAACAATCCTGTGAGGTAGGTTAGGCTGAGAGAGGCAGGGATGGGCGACCTTGGGCCAGTCCCTGCCTCTCTCAGCCTAACCTACCTCACAGGATTGTTTGGGGGATTAAATGAGGAGCAGGGAGAACAATGCAAGGGAGAAAAAGGTGGGAAATAAATGCAAGGAATAAAATAAATATTGCAGCTCCTGTTTCAGAACTAGCAGCGCCGGCCAAAGGAAAACTGGTGTTATCTTGAACATCAGTTGCATGTGGCGGTACAAAGACATGGGAAAGGGCTGGCTGAGAGGATTCTGCGAGCTTTAGCAATAAATGCTGGAGAATGATCTGTTGGGAAACTGTGTACGTCCAGCTACTCACACAGAGTCAATTAAGGTTTGGCAGACAGCCAGAAAGCAATCTGAAGGAGTAAGTCTGCCTGGAGATAACAGAGGCATGGAGACTGCTCCGATTGGTCAAGCTCTCTCAAAGGAGTGATAATTAATGGCCTACTAACTGAAATGCGTGGTTCAGTGTTTGTGAGTTCAGAGTTCTGTGTCAGTGTAGGAGTTTTGAGTCGTGTCAGAGAGAGCTAGCATAAGATCCGTGTTCTGTTCCTGTAAATAGTCCACTGTATATAATAAACACCTAACTACAAGTTCCTGGTTCCTGCTTCATCTATCCTGTCTGCAGCCAATTGCTTCCGTGGATTCTGTGTGTACTCTGCTAGGTCTGGCTAAGGTCCTGCAACTAGTCAGAAGGTTGCGAAACTCCAAATGGGTTTTGCCGATATGATCATTTCCCCCAGCCATTATGGAAAAAATCAGTGTATTCCTGAAAGAAAACAGGATCTGCAATGATAAAAGGGCTTCTTATAGCAGCTTTATTAACTGGAGCAGGGTTTCCCAAACTTGGGTCTGTTTTTGTTTTTTGGGTCGCAGTTCCCATCATCCCTGACCACTGGTCCTGCTAGCTAGGGATGATGGGAGTCCAAAAACAGCTGGAGACTGGACTTCCGGGTTAGCGCCATCGGCGAATGGCGGAGTTCCTCCGACCGGAGGAACTGGCTCCGTGGAAACTGGGTCTTCCCGCCGTGGCGAAGGTGGGGACCCGCTAGAAATCCCAGGCGGAGGAAGCCTGGGAACGTGGGGTTCGGCAGGGCACCAGGAGCGCCCCCCTACACACCGGGAACCCCATTTTGGGGCTCCGGAGTGAAGTGGGGTGAGCGGCGCGGTGCTGCGAACTGATTGCTACTTTCACGGAGTGAAGCCGCACAGCCATTGCCGGAGAGCGCTGACTTTTTCCTGTGGACAATTGGATTTAAAATAAGTACCCGTGAGTAGAAACGGAAAATTGGATCAAGAAATATCTTAATTTGGCACAGAAGCGGGAAGGTTCAAAACAGGAAGTCCGCCTTCCGCTTTTTGTACATAGACTGAAGCAAAAACCTTGTAAGCTAAAGCCTGGAAAGTCGTTAATAAAGTTTAAATTTCCTTCATTTATAATTACTGAAACCCCCTTGGAAGCAGGAGAAAAGGGGGGGGGACTTTGTTTAACGCCTGCAGGAGAGGGAGTGAAGAAAGATAAGTTTCCACCGTCTCTAACCTGGGAACGGGGTGTCAGAGACAGAAATTCTTGGAGAGGTTCATTGACTGTGAATGGAATACTTTGACAGATAGCTAAAGAAGAGAAATAAATTGATTCCAATGTTGCCTTCTGCATTCTAAAGAAACAAAATATCTGAAAAATGAAAGTAATTTTCCTTTGTTGGACTTGCCTTAAAAAACGGATACAAATAGAAATTGTCTCCTCTAGAGGGAGCTTGCTAAATTGTTGCTGCAGTCTACTTGAGGACTCTACAGCTGTCAGATTAAGATCGTGGGACCAGTCCTTTTTGACCTTGACTAAATATGAGCTGGGAGGAAGTTTTGGTGCTTGCTTTATGCAAGACAAGTGCCTTGCTGGAACAGATGCATGAGAAGATGGATTTGATGAATGAGAAAATGGATTTGATGACTGTTGTGGTTAATAACTGTGGACAAACAGGGAATATTGATACAGAAACTATTCAGGGACCAACTCAGGAACCTGTACTGATTGGGCAAGTGCAGAAGATAATGGAGGAGGTTGCGGTTGCACCTCAAATAATACAAATGGAGAGACCCGAGGCCCTACAGGAGCATAAGCTGCTGTCTTTGAAGATTGAAGTTGGAGTCGGCCAGGGGGAGTCTGGAGCTGAGGAGGTTCTTAACTTTGGAGAGACCTCGAAATATGTTTTTAAATATTTTTTGGACTACATTGATGACTGTGGGGAGTGGGACTCTGGGGAATGGGCTGGTTGGATGAAGGGAGACGAAGATAATTTTGGGTTGGAATCCCCCAGAGACCTACTCCCCAACGAGAAAGGAAAGAAACTAAGAAAGAGACCAACAAAAGACAAGGAAAAGTGCAAGTATAAACAAGAAGAAGAAGATCTGCAGAAGGGACATGGAAGAGACTTAAGGGCCTCGGACATTAGATTACCAGGTTGATGGACTAGATGGAATGGACAGTAAGGACTGACACGACCCGAGACCAGGAAGAAGAGACGTTGGATAAAGATTGGAAGAAAATTTATAAAGAATTTTTTTTTATTTTTCCCCCCCTAGGGAATTAGCCTAAAATTAATGAACATTAGGGGAAATGTTGGAATGAAACTATATGACTCTAGTAGAAAAGATATCAGGAGTTATGTATAATCGAGTATTAAGCGTTAAGCTCTAAAATATTTTTTTGGTAAGATAAGGTTAAATAACTTAAGGTAATTTGAATAACAGAATATGGGGAAAGGATGGAAAGGATTTGTTGTGTTAATTAATAGGTTAAATTGTTAAGATAAATTATTTAGTAAAAATTGAGAAAGATGGAAAGAATTTGCTGAAATAATCAATTAAACTAGAATACAAAAAGGGAGGTGTGAGGAGGTCAATGAAACAAGCAAATGTAAGTTAAAGATATGTAATATGGGATTTGTGTCTTTTTTTCCTTCTTTTTTATCTTTTTGCTGTATTGTTGCATTGGTTTTTATGTCTTGTTTTTTATTTCTTGTTTCTTTTTTCTATGTATTGTAGTGTTGTTTTTAATTTTTTTCTTTCTTTTCTGTAATTTTGAAATTATTAATAAATATTATTTAAAAAACAACAACAAAAACAGCTGGAGACTGAAGTTTGGGGAATCCTGAATTAGAGAATATTTAGCGGCATTCCAAAAAGAAGGATATCCTCTCTGTCTCGGTTAACCCTTTATTTTTCCTTTTATACTCCAAGAGGCTGGTATGCTTTTAAATGGATGTCAAATTGCTCACAGATACTTTTAAGTGGGCCCTTTAGTTTGTGCAAAGAATTGGATATCAAGAATGTGAAGAGGGAAGGAATGGCGGCTAACAGATTGAGGTTGAATCCTGACAAGACAGAAGTACTGTTTTTGGGGGACAGGAGGCGGGCAGGTGTGGAGGATTCCCTGGTCCTGAATGGGGTAACTGTGCCCCTGAAGGACCAGGTGCGCAGCCTGGGAGTCATTTTGGACTCACAGCTGTCCATGGAGGCACAGGTCAAATCTGTGTCCAGGGCAGCTGTTTACCAGCTCCATCTGGTACGTAGGCTGAGACCCTATCTGCCTGCAGACTGTCTCGCCAGAGTGGTGCATGCTCTGGTTATCTCTCGCTTGGACTACTGCAATGCGCTCTACATGGGGCTACCTTTGAAGGTGACCCGGAAACTACAACTAATCCAGAATGCGGCAGCTAGACTGGTGACTGGGAGCGGCCGCCGAGACCATATAACACCGGTCTTGAAAGACCTACATTGGCTCCCAGTACGTTTCCGAGCACAATTCAAAGTGTTGGTGCTGACCTTTCAAGCCCTAAACGGCCTCGGCCCAGTATATCTGAAGGAACGTCTCCACCTCCACCGTTCTGCCCGGACACTGAGGTCCAGCTCCGAGGGCCTTCTGGCAGTTCCCTCACTGTGAGAGGCCAAGCTACAGGGAACCAGACAGAGGGCCTTCTCGGTAGTGGCGCCCGCCCTGTGGAACGCCCTCCCACCAGATGTCAAAGAGATAAACAACTACCTGACATTCAGAAGACATCTGAAGGCAGCCCTGTTCAGGGAAGTTTTTAATATGTGACATTTTAGTGTATTTTTCATCTTTGTTGGAAGCCGCCCAGAGTGGCTTGGGAAACCCAGCCAGATGGGCGGGGTACAAATAATAAATTATTATTATTATTATTATTATTATTATTATTATTATTATGTGCAGTCAGTTTGAAACTGACCCAAAATCCCCATTTTTCCTCCTCCAAGGGAGCATTTCTAAAATGCTGTAACTTGAGCTCTTGAGCCAAAACCCAGCTGTATAAACAAGTGCTCAAAGCTCTCTCCCTTATCAGTCTGTAACGGCAATGAGTGGCCTTGCCAGTTCCAGTAGAGCAGGGATGACGCGTCTGGGTCTTATCTTACATCCTGACCACAAAGACCACAAAGACGCACAGACCTTGTCAAGTCTGACAAGAGGCCTAGGAATGGCGCCAGGAGTTGGTGACCTCCTGCCCCAAGATAAGAGTATAGGAACAGGAACAACCTTTTATGGTCAAGAGTACAGGAAGAGGAAAACCCTTTTATGGTCAAGAGTGCCGGAACAGGAATAACTGTTTATGGTCATGGATGTCAACTTACGTGTATAAGCTGACGTGCTTGAATTCCTGGGGAAGCGGGGAGAGGGTGCCTGGAGGATATACCGTATTTTTTGCACCATAACACTCACTTTTTTCATCCTAAAAAGTAAGGGGAAATGTCTGTGCGTGTTATGGGGGGAATGCCTACGGGTGGCATGCCTACGGATTTTCCTCCTCTAAAAACTACGTGCGTGTTATGGTCAGGTGCGTGTTATAGAGCGAAAAATACGGTATATACTGCATGAAATTGCTCATTTCTTGGGACTTGCTGTGAACTGACCACGCAAGTGCATTCTGCTATCCGGAGAGCAGAATAAACTCTTTCTCTGAATCAACCTCGGTGTCATTTGACTTCCTTCCTCCCTCCCGGGAGCAACGCAGACCCCACCAGTCGGTAAAGTCTAATAAGGCTACAAATGTACAAA